CGCTTTCAGAAACTCACACGCTGGATCGGCGGATTTCTAATTCTGCAAGCTTGACCTTGTGCTTTCCCGCCTTGGAGATGCAGAGGGACTTATTATGGCATAGTGGTGTACGGGCAGGTAACCCAGCTTAGAGGCAACGCGAATGTGACTCCGAGTATGGCGGTCCGGCCGTAGCCAGAGCAGGTCGAGCAGCGTGGTCAAATTATCAGGGTCGACGCTGCCAAGAGAAACTCAGCAAACAAGTGAAGTTTCGGGAGGGGCTGGAGAAGCGGCCCAGGCGCGATCCGATCCGTTTCCGGTCTGTTCCGGGTTCGTGTTTCAGTGCATTTCCAACCTGGTTCCTCCAGGGCCCGTTTTTGGGTAGTTCTGATGACGGCCTTGGGGTCTGGAGACGGCCCCCACGAAGCCGATCGCGTTTACAACCCAGCCGCCACGGTTTTTTGTTGGGCGTCGTTTGGGTGTGAGGCTCCATTTCTCCCCATAACAGCTGACGTCGTGAGTTTGTCGCAACGTGGCTCCTGGAGATCTGGACTTTTCCCCAGGAGCAGCTTTTTACCCCGAGAACCTTTTTTAACGGTCTTGGGACCCAGAAAGGGCCCCGGGAAGCCGAAAATTGAAACAATCCAACAGTTGTCTGTCTGTCTGTCTGTCTGTCTGTCTGTCTGTCTGTCAGTCAGTCAGTCAGTCAGTCTGCATGTATGTATGTATGCATGCATGCATGCATGCATGCATGTATGTATATATGTATGCATGTATGTAGTATGTATGTATGCATGCATGTATTTATGTATGTATTTATGCTTGTTTGCATGTATGTATGCATGTACATGCATATGTGTATATGTGCATGTAACATACTGTATGTATGTACGTGTGTGGTTTGGTATGTTTGTGTGTGTATATGTGTAAATGTGTATGTAGGTATGCGTGTATGCATGCATGTATGCATGTATGCATGTATGCATTTATGCATGCATGTCTGCATGTATGCATGCATCTACGTATGCACGTATGCATAGTTGTGTATATATGTATATAATATACACACGCACCCGCAGCGAACGTTTCAGACCCGAAAAAATGGAAGTCGTGGAACATCACGACCGGGGCCCTAGACCATGTCTTTCAGGGCCGTTTTTCGAACCGGATCGTTCTCTGAGGGTCCCAGGACCGGAAACCGGGCTAAACTGCGACATGTAGACCGCGTCGTTTGGTCGGACAAGGAGCCAATGAACTCGGCGAAATATTTTGTTGTATAGACGCTTCAGCATTCCCCAGGTTGGGCAGCGGAGGCGTTTGTGCGCGGACCTTCTTGGCTGACCAGTCGACTTGGTGTATACTTTGAGCCCCTCCCAGGGGTTCTTCCCCCCCCCCGTTTTGCCACAGAGTGCATTGTTCATTCGTGAGGTGTTGCTTTCCCACTTCCAGATAAAACCTCACTCCCAGAGGAGCCGCCAGAGGCCACGCTCGACCACTCCACGGTGACCAGCCGGGCGCTCGGCTCAGACGCGGAGGCCTGCACCTGGGTGAGCTGGGAGACCCCGCCGCCTTTTGGGCCGACCGATCTGAGCCCGTGGGCCCCGATGGGGCTGGGCTTTGGAGCCGGCTGGGGCCTGAGGTGGGGCATCGCTGGCTCCAGTCGGTTAGAGGGGGGAGAGGGGGGCGAGAGGCACCACTGTACACAGGTTTCGTTCCTTGTTCCCTCTGGGCCGCCTTCTCCAGATGGGCACTGGGTGCTAAATTTGCTCACTTTGCACTCCTGAGTGGCGTTGCTGGTGCCCGTCCAGAGCAGACCCCCCAGCCGGCTCCAAGCCTCGTAGCCGGACCCAGATCCCCGACGATTTTTTTGGATTTAGATGTTTTTCTTCGATTTGGGCCGTGGGGTCGGCCAACGGGCCGTGGGACCATCAAAAACGTATCGTGGGCGAGAAACGGATCGTGGGCGAAACGCTGCCCCCAGGAAAGCGGTCGAGACCTTTTTGGGGCTGCGGACTGAAACAGCTGTGCCGGCGGATGCCCGGGGGTGTCCAGGGAGGTGGGGGGCTTTTGGAGGAAATCTTCTTTGGTTCTAGGGGGGGGGTTCTCGCTTCGGAGTGCCTTCCAGCGACCGCGCGTCGTCGAGATCATTGGATACCTTTGGCCCTCCTTGTGCCTCTGGACGCCTCCAGAGCCCTCTCTCTTATGTATTATCTTGTTTGCGTCCCTCTCGCTCTCTCTCTCTCTCTCTATTCCCCCCCTCCTTTCACTCTTCCCCTCTTCCCTCCCTTTCCCTCGCCATCCAGCCTCTCTCTCGCTCTCTCTTCCACCTCCCCCTCGCTCTCTCTCCCCTCTCCTCCGTCCCTCTCGCCCTCCCTCCTCCTCCCCCTGTCCCTCCCTCCCTCCCCTCCCCTCGCTCTGGATCGCCCAGGGGCTGGGCGAGGCGGTGGCTTCGGCCCTGAGGGGGGGGGTCTCCCACCAGCACCGCGTTCTCCTTCGCGGCGACCGCGGCCCTGGGCCTGGAGGCGCGACCCGCGGTCGACCTGTTCGCTTCTGGGCGTCCCGGCGTGCGCTCCCGCCCCCTGCCTCCCCTCCAGATGGAGGGGGACGGAGAAGGGAGGAAGGAAGGCAGGGGCAGAGGGAGAGAGGGATGATGATGATGATGATGATGATGATGATGATGATGATGATGATGGTGGTGGTGGTGGTGGTGGTGGTGGTGGTGATGATGATGATGGTGATGATGATGATGATGCTGCTGATGCTGAAGATGATGATGAAGCTGATGCTGGTGCTGATGATGACGATGCTGCTGCTGATGATGATGGTGCTGATGCTGATGATGCTGCTGCTGATGATGATGATGATGAAGACGATGCTGCTGCTGCTGATGATGATGATGATGATGATGATGGCGATTGTGGTGGTGATGATGATGGTGATGGTGATGGTGATGCTGTTGATGCTGATGCTGATGCTGATGCTGATGATGACGATGCTGCTGCTGATGATGATGGTGCTGATGCTGATGATGCTGATGATGATGCTGAAGACGATGCTGATGATGATGGTGATGGTGATGGTGATGGTGATGGTGATGGTGATGGTGATGGTGATGGTGATGGTGATGGTGATGCTATTGATGCTGATGCTGATGCTGATGCTGATGATGATGGTGATCGTGATGATGATGCTGTTGATTCTGATGCTGATGCTGATGATGATGCTGATGATGATGATGGTGGTGATCATGGTGGTGATGATGATGCTGTTGATGCTGGTAGTGATGATGCTGATGGTGATGATGCTTGTGATCATGATGATGGTGGTGGTGTTGGTGGTAATGATGATGGCGATGATGGCACTGCTGTTGAAGATGATGGTGATGATGCTGATGACGATGCTGCTGATGATGATGCTGATGGCGATGATGATGGTGCTAATGATGATGGTGCTGTTGATGGTGATGAGGATGCTGAGGATGAGGATGCTGATGGTGATGGTTACCAAGGTGATGGTGGTGACGATGTTGATGTTGAGGTTGCCAATGATGCCGATGCTGATTATGATGATGATGCTGCTGCTGATGCTGTTAAATATGACGATGATGATGTTGTTGCTGATGATCATGATGCTGCTGATGGTGATGATGCTGGTTGTTATGATGCTGATGCCGATGCTGATGCTGATGATGATGCTGATGCTGATGTTGCTGATAATGATGGTGGTGATGATGATGCTGCTGATGCTGATGCTGACGATACTGATGCTGATGATGATGCTGACGCTGATGATGGTGATGGTGATGGTGATGTTGGTGGTGATGATGATGATGATGGTGACGATGGTGATGATGGTTGTGGTGGTGGTGGTGATTGTGATGGGTGTGGTGATAATGATGTTGATGATGCTGATAGGGATGATGCTTATGGTGATGATGCTTGTGATCATGATGACTGTGGTGATGATGATGATGTTGATGATGACGCTGCTGATGAAGATGCTGATAGCGATACCGATGATGCTGATGATGGTGATGATGGCAACGACGATGATGACGATGATGATAGTGATGATGATGGTGATGATGAAGATGACGATTATGATGCTGATGATGATGATGAGGATGATGATGAAAATGATGGTGATGGAGATGATTGTTGCTGTTCTCTGAGACTGTATATGTTGATGCTGATGCTGATGCTGATGCTGATGCTGATGATGCTGCTGCTGCTGCTACTGATGGTGGTGATGATGCTGCTGATGCTGCCCATGATGCTGATGCTGATGGTGATGCTGATGCTGCTGCTGCTGATGATGATGATCATGATGCTGGTGGTGATTGTGGTGGTGATGATGATGGTGATGGTGCTGGTAGTGATGATGCTGGTGGTGATGAAGGTGGTGATCATGATAATTGCGGTGGTGGAGATGGTGATGATGCTGTTGATAATGACGCTGTTGTTGAAGATGATTGTGATGATGCTGATGATGACGATGCTGATGATGATGATGATGATGATGATGAAGATCACGATGATGTTGACGACGACGATGATGATGACAATGCTGTTGGTGACGATGGTGATGCTGCTGATGGTGATGGTACTGGTTACAAAGTTGATGATGGTGTGGATGTTGTTGATGATGATGAAGATTATTATCATGATGAAGATTATGATGCTGATGATGATGCTGCAGATGCTGCTGGATCTAACGCTTATGATGCTGATCATGATGCCGCTGATGATGCTGATGCTGATGATGGTGATGAGTCTGATGCTGATGCTGATGCTGATGATGGTGCTGCTGCTGATAATGATGACGATGATGATGGTGGTGATGATGGTAATGGTGATGATGATGATGATCATGGTGACAGTGATGGTGGTGGTGGTGGTGATGGGTGTGGTGATGATGATGGTGATGATGTTGATGGTGATGAAGCTGAATGCGATGATGATGGTGATCATGAGGACTTGTGGTGGTGATGATGATGATGAAGCTGCGGTTCAAGGAGATGACGATGCCGATGATGATGATGACGATGGCGTTGATGACGATGATGCTAACGATGATGATGGTGCTGCTGATGATTATGATGATGAGGATGCTGTTGATGATGATGATGATGCTCATGATTGTGACGGTGATGATGGTGAGGCTGCGTATGATGGTGGTGGTGTTGGTATGATGATGTCGACACTCATGATGATGATGACGGTGGCGACGGTGATGATGCTGACGCTGATCATGATTGCGATGCTGCTGACGGCGATCATGCTAATGCTGATGATGGTGATGATGCTGTTGATCATGCTGGTGCTACTGACGATGATTGTGATTGCGACTATGGTGGTGATGATACTGGTGACGGTTGTGGTGATGGTGATGCTGCTGGTGATGTTGATGCTCATGACGATCATGATGGCGACGATGTCGATGATGGCGATGCTGATGCCGATGCTGATGATGATGATGAAGATGCTGATGATGATGCCGATGCTGATGATGCCGATGACGATGCTGATGATGCTGATGATGAAGGTGATGATGATGCTGAGGCTGATGATGATGCTGATGATGATGTTGATGATGATTATGATGGTGACGCTGATGACGCTGATGACGATAACGGTGATGACAATCATGCTGACGATGACGATGTTGTTGATGATGCTGATGCTGTTGATGCTGGTGCTGCTGATGATGACCATGGGGATGATGGCGCTGGTGCTGATGATGATGTTGAGGACGAATGTGATGATGGTGATGGTAATGATTATGCTGACGATGATGATGATGCTGATTCTGATGATGATGACTGCGATGCCGATGGTCACGATGCTGCTGATGATGATGCTGATGGTGATCATGATGCTGCTGCTGATGTTGATGCTGATGATGATGATGATGATGATCATACTGATGATGACGATGCTGCTGATAATGATGATGATGCTGATGATGGTGATGGCGATGATGCTGGTGATAACCATGCTGACGGTGATGATGATGATCATCATGATGATGATGGTGATGATGATGATGATCATGATGATGATGCTGCTGCTGCTGATGACGGTGATGGTGGATGTGGTCTTGATGGTCATGCTGCTGATGCTGATGCTGCGGATGCTGATGCTGATGCATATGATGAGGATGATGATGCTGCTGATTATGCTGTTGCCGATGATGCCGATGATGATGGTGATGATGATGATGATGATGATGATGATGCTGATTGGGGATGATGCGGATGATGGAGATGTTGAGTGAAGATGATGACGATCCTGCTAATCGTGATGATGATGGTGGTGGTTATGATGCTGATTATGATGATGAGGATGGTGAAGATGATGACGACGTTGATGATCATGCTGATGATGACGATGATGCTGGTGATGCTGATTATGATGATGATGCTGCTGATGATGATGTTGATGCTGATGCTGCTGATAATGATGCTGATGCTGATGCTGCTGCCGATGATGATGATGATGATGATGATGATGATGATGATGATGATGATGATGATGATGATGATGATGATGATGATGATGATGATGGTGATGGTGATGGTGATGGTGATGATGGTGATGGTGATGATGATGGTGATGATGATGATGATGATGCGATGAT